AACGTGTGTGAGGCGGAGGCGGGCGTTACGGAGCCCGCATGTGAGACGTGTGTGTTTGTGAGGCGGAGACAGGCATTACGGAGCCCATGTGCAAGACATGTGTGAGGCAGAGACTGGAGTTATGGAGCCCGCATGCGAGACGTGTGTGTTTGTGAGGCGGAGGCAGGCATTACGGAGCCCACGTGCGAGACGGGAGTTATGGAGCCCGCATGGGAGACGTGTGTGTTTGTGAGGCGGAGGCAGGCATTACAGATCCCACGTGCGAGACACTCGTCCACACAGCCTCAAACGATAAATAAAACAGACGCAGGCCTGGCGGGAGGTAGCAGCCGCCGTAGCAGGGGCTAAGGAAAATGACGGTGCAAGAGCCGCAGTCAAACAATGAGGCTGGAGAAGAAAAGCTCTTGAATCCCGTGCAGGGGATCACGGCTGACTCTCCTAGGGCCTGAGCCTTCCCTCAGCCCCTGGTCCGATTGCCAAGACAGCACAGACCTTTCATCCCCCGGCGTCGCGGGTCTCCGCCCTGAAAGCAGGACGCCGGCGCTTTGCCGAGCTAGGGACTGGGCGGGGGCACAAGACTGGGGCTTAGGCAACCTTAGGTCTTGCCACTGGGATCTCTGTGTGATCTTGGGCAAGTCCCGCCCCCTTTCCGTGCCTCGGTTTCCCCATCTGTAAACCCCAGGCTTGCTAGTGCGCCCAACCTCCTGCTTTTACTCACGGTTGGCTCTGGTCCCACAAACAGAGGGGTTCAGGCCACCACCTTTCTTAAGCCTCCAGGGGCATCTGATTTGCTGCCCACGGCTGGAAGATCCCCATGGCGCCGGGTTGTAGAGACCCAATATGCCAGACCCAAAGGTGGGTGGGATGGGAATGGGGGGAGGTGCTGTGGTTGCTCAGGTGGCCAGCTCCCCTCACCGGGACCCTGCCAGGACTGGGCAGAATGGTATTTTACGTCCATCTCCTCTTCCACCAGCAGGGTGGGGAAGTTCTCCCCCTAGGGAGCCTGTGGTGGTCCGCTGGAGGTTCGTCTCCGGAGCACTGCTTGGCTAAGGGAGGACACTGGGACACACGTCGCTGACCAGCCCGGCAGTGTCCGGCATCAGGGGAGTCGGGGGCAAGCTGCCAAGGGTGCCCGGAAGCCAGAGCACTGACAGAACGGGGCTGGCGTGGGAAAACTGCCTCTGGGCCAAAGCCTGCAGCAGATGCAGGAAAGCTACGCCTGGGGCAGTCCAGGCAAGTCACACTGGTGCGAGCCTCGCACGACACTGGTGCGAGCCTCTGCGCTGGTGGTTTGCACTGCGCTGTGCGACCTTGGTGAGGCTTTCAAATCCATCGGCCTTTCCCACACTCAGGGCGGCCCCAGCAAAGGGGCTTTTGTGTTGTACTTAGCAGGGTTAAAGACCTCAGGGACTCGGGCCGTGTCGGCATGGGAGAGCGGCGCCTGTTTAACTGGTTGAGGGTGTCCGGGGCAAAGCCTTCAGTCTGAACAGAAAGGCTTGCTCCAGTCTGGTGCTGAGCGGAGCCGCGCCGCGCCGCTCGGAGGCTGACATAGGCGCGTGGGGGTTTCGGTCAGTTTGACTAAACTGATTTACCAAGACGCTTTACTTTAGCGCTTGTTAGCACGGCTGCAGACGGAGCCTCGGTTTTCACAGCAGTCCAACGGGGACGGTCCGCCCGCCAGGCTCTGCGCCGGATAGACGCCCGGCGTCACCGCGGTTCTGGTTTCTCTGTGTCCCTCGACCGGCCGGTGAGAGTTTCGTCAGCTGTTGACAGTTCCAGGACTGAAGGGCCAGTGGAGTATCGGCCTTTTCGAAGGGATCGTCTACGCGGCTTTCAAAGGTGCCTGGGGCTGGCCCAGCTCCACGGGGCTCCGGCTGCGGCGCTCAAAAGTCCGGTGCAGACGTTCAGCATTGGACTGGACTCCGGGCTCTGTAACCGGTTGGGGGAGGGTCTCCAAGCCCCGGCCCCAGCCCGAATATCTGCACGGCTCCCTGGGAGCCTGGGTCACTTGGTCTGAGCTCTGAGACGGTGCCGTGGGCATTTTCCTGCAGGATCACCGGGCCCTTGGCTGCCCTGGCAGAGACGGGAGGAACTGGGTCGGGCTGGAAGGGGCCTGGAGAGGTCTTCTCGTCCATGGGACAGATGCCAAGGTCTCTTGGGCCCAAACCCTGGACTCTTCTCCTCCTGCAGGGCGACTCCCATGGATTGTCCCTGTCTAGGGAGATACAGGATAGATGTCTTCTCCAGAGCCCAGGATGCAACAACTCCCTCCAGCAGGGGTGTTGGTGGGCCTGGAGTTAGCATGGAGGCAGGCCGGGATCAGTCACTATTGACTTATATGGCCCTGGTCTGGGATTCTTGACAGTGGCTGGGCTCTTCTCCTCCTGCAGGGCGACTCCCATGGATTGTCCCTGTCTAGGGAGATACAGGATAGATGTCTTCTCCAGAGCCCAGGATGCAACAACTCCCTCCAGCAGGGGTGTTGGTGGGCCTGGAGTTAGCATGGAGGCAGGCCGGGATCAGTCACTATTGACTTATATGGCCCTGGTCTGGGATTCTTGACAGTGGCTGGGGGAAGCTTCCAAATTCCTCTGTGTTTTCAGTGATCGTGGGTGGCTCATTTCCCGCCGGACTCGTATTGTCCTCTAGACGCCAACTGGCCCCCCCACGCCTCCCGCACTGGCCATGCCAAGCCTGAGCCGGGCCAGGACCTCATCGCCTCAGGCCCCGGGGATTCCAGCCCTTTGCTCCCCCTCCCTGGGGCACCTTGAATCACGCCTTGGAGCTGATTGTGTCCTGCTTTTGGAGAGCAAAGCCACCCGGCGGGTACCCTTGTTGGTGCCGCTCGCTCCGCCAGCAGTGGCCTTGGGGGCGTAGCGGGGACCCTTCCCGGCCCCTCATCTCCTGGGTTAAAGATCAGGAACCAGATTCCTTGTGGGCACCTATAGCTGCAGGTCGCGAGAGGCCCTCAGGGTGGGGTGTGGAGCTGGCCACTGGAGCCTGTCTGGGAATCCTTAACTCCACCTCTCGGCGCTGACAGCAGGAGGCGAGCTCTCGTCCTGCTGCTTGGCTCCAGCTGGGCCCAGGTGACCTAGGGTTTGGCCAACGGTGCCAAACTCAACCTCGGGACCTCTCCCTTGCCCCCTCTCCGCTGCCCTTTCTTGCGCAGCTCGGCGGGCGCTGGGCGTGTGCGTGTGTTTAAAAGGCGAGGGATCCTCGGTGGGAGAAATCCCGCACAGCGCCAAAGGGCATTGGAGGGAGGCTTTAAACCCACCTCCCCTTAGCCACCAGCTGACATCCCTGAGACCCAACATCACTCGCGCTTCCGTGGCTTGTGCGGCTCCCGCAAGATGAAGCTGCCGCCACCGTTGTGATTGCAATTAGCTGGGCACCGTTCGCCATTGTGCACGCTTCTTGTGCACGTCATTCATCCCGCGCTCCCCACCCGTGCCCGTCAAAGGTAAACGGCAAGTCGTAGCCTCACTAGTTTCTACAGCAGTTGGGTTGGGGCGTCTCTTTTGTGTCCTGTACCGGTCACCTGTTGATTGATGGATTGATTTGATTTTTTTTTTAATGACTGTAATATTGCTGCAATGTCTGGTGAGCCAACAGAATTTCTCTGACATAGCATACTTGAGTGCTTATAACCTCCCAGCAAACTTTTCTGGAACTAGGTCTTCTCTGGCTTTCCCAAATTAATAGAGCTGCTATTAATAGAGGTCCATTATTCATTCTGCAATTTTCCATGTCTTGCCCACAGCTCAGGGTATGGCTACGCTACAAGAGTATTTCGAAATAAGTTATTTCGGAATAGTAACCCCTGAAATTACTATTTCAAAATAGCGCGCTCACGCTACAGGAAAGCCTCGAAATGAGCCCGAGGCAGGGTTCCCTAATGTGGACGTGCTGTCTCGATTTGAAGCACTGAGGAGGAATAACTGGGAATGGCGCCGGGGAGCAGCTATTTTGAAATAGCAGCAGTGGCGCATCCACACCACGGCTATTCTGAAATGGGCGTTATTCCTCGTGAAACAAGGGGGTTTTGTTCCAGAATAAGAAACCTGTTACAAATTTTTTTTCGAAATAACGGGGCTTGCTGCGTGTGGATCTCCTCTTGCTGTTTCGACATAACGCTGTAGTGTAGACGTGCCCTCTGCTGCTGATATTTGAAGATCCCCTTGAAATCCAAATAGGGCCTTACCTAGCAGGGAGTGTTTACGCTGCCACCGGAATTCCTCCCACCGGTTCCAAGGTAGACATCCTGTGCAGGAACTAGTGTGCCACCGTTGCTCCCAAACCATGTCAGGATGCTAGCGACGCTCCTTGCTTTGCAAACGCTCTCAGGGCCACGCCGACACCAAAGGGGAAGTCCAACGTAAGACGCACAACTCCCACGATATTAACGATGTCGCTGGAGTCGGTGTATCTTGCATCGCCGCCCACGCAGCGGGAGGGCGACCGGAGCAAAAGCTCCTCTTGGCGTCCCTTGCTCCTCGCGCAGCACAAGAGTACCAGCATCCATGGGGGTGCTCTCTGTGTTTGATTTAGCGGGTCTTCACTAGACCCGCTAAATCGAGCCCTGGAAGATCGACCATCTTCCCTGTAGTGTAGACATGGCCTAAAGGAGCACCCGCTACTTCCGCTCTGGTCTCTGCCTTCCGGAGCTGCCCTGCAGAGGTTGCCGGGGCAGAAGGTTGGGTGAGGGCAGGAGAGAAATCTTCCCTGGAGATACGCTCCTTGGCTTGCTTCTTTGCTGGGTGGGAGCGTATCAGCCTTTGGAAATAGCCAACCTGACGCACGAACTTTGCGGGGCATCTTCCTAGAAATCCAACCCTGGCATCCTACGGTCCCCACCGCCCTCCTGTGGGACTCCTGGCTCGCATCAAACCCTCCCGTTGCTTGTCCCCTTCTGCCAGCTGCATGGTCCCCTTGACTCCCGCCCCCCCCCCCCCCCCATGGCGGGGACTTTAAACAGAAACGAACCCACGCTCGGTCGCGCCGCTTAAAGTCAACTGTTCTCCGAGCAGAATCTTAATGGTATTTTGTTTTGTTGTTTTGTTTTTTTTTCTGTTTGTTTTGTTGGTTTTTTTTCTGTTAGCAACCCAACTACTGGAGCTTTAAGGTCAGTATTTCTGATTTTTTCCCCCGTCCCTGCTTCTGTTGAACGTGCATGCGCTTTCTCCCCCTTCCCCGCCCCGTCAGTGTGCACAAGCGGGAGGGCTGCAGGTCTGGGATTCCTGAGCAAGGCTGCAGCGTGTGGCGAGTGCCCGGTTTGATTTAAGGACCGGGGGGCGCTCACAAGGACGATGCAGCTGCCGATTCTGCAGGACGGGCTCTTGCGTGTCTGGGGAGACGAGCCTGGGTCATGTGCAGCTCTCGGTTCTCTGTCCCCGCCGCAAGTTGGCAGGCGAGGTGCTGAAATCCGGGTTTACGCGGGTGTCACAGAGACCAGCCTCCTGGCTCCTTGATGGCAGGGGCAGAGCAGCGAGTGGAGACGGATTCAGCCCGTTCCAGGGTTCAAGAGCCCAGTTGAGATTCTTCATCCGGGTGTTAGGTCATGGCTGTGGACTGGCAGATGAATAATTCAGACCCTCGGCCTCTTTCTAGTCAACCCCCAGGGTTCCAAAGCCGAACTCTCCCTCCCCTGTTCTTTATCACCATTTTCACCAGTCCCCCCTGCCCTCCACGTGCAGGGGCGCCCTGACGGTAAGGTGGTGGGGCAGGTTCCCGCGTGGCCTAGGGGCTAGGGCGCTCGCCTAGGGAGGACAGAGTTGTGCGTTCAAGTCGGGTTGGGACGGCCAAAAGCCGGTGGGCCACAGGGCAGGAGGTCAGACCGATCCGCTTCACTATTTGCTGCTTGTGCACGAGCATATTTTGTGTGTGTGTGGGGGGGGTTCTAGCGGGGTGCAGGAGGGGGAATGTGTTTTAAAAGCCCGTCTCTGCCCCCAAAGACCCCCAGCTGCTGTTCATTTTAAA